TGGGGAATTCTGGGAGTTGAAGTCCACCCATCTTCAAGTGGCCAAGGTGGAGAAACACTGCTGTATGCTGTTTTCAGCTTATGAAACTTAACATCTGTCTATTTCTCTAGCATGGAAAGTGACGAAAGAAACTATCAATATTTTCTTGGGAATTATTGGGGGAAAAAATTCTGCCCAAAAGAGAGCACCAGAGAATTACACTGCAGCCTTCAATCTGTGTTAAGGCAGTTTCTATCCTCCAAGGAATCCAGGAGTTATAACATGGAACAGGCTGATCTTTAGAGTTCCCAACACCCCAATGACAAACTGATCCTTCCAGGGCATGACCAAAAAGGTCAAGATGGTGGTTGCAAGGGTTCAATCGCACCCTTGCAACCACCGTCTTGACTTTTTTGACCGTGCCCTGCGGACTGGACCCTCTCCAAGGCTCCTGCAGAAGAGGACATTCCTGCTAAATCGGTTGAGCTCCACAGTTCAGATACATCTATCCTGGAGACAGCAACAAACGACCCGCTTGCCTCTCACCTTACGGACGTGGCATGAGAACAACACTGAACTGAAGTGCATCTTGTCTTTCAGGGCTGACACCTGTTTGGCAAACTGGGGAGCCAAGGTTGGGTTCTCCTCTGCCTGGGGGAGAAGCAAAGAGAACATGAGCTGAGTTATCTCTTTGGAGAGGAGAAGAAGAGAGGAAAAGCATCTACAACCAATCAATTTCCCTCCCTATCTATCAATCAATCAATCAATCAATCAATCAATTACCTATCTATATATTTCCCTCCCTCCCTCCCTATCTATCTATCAATCAATCAATTACCTATCAATATATTTCCCTCCCTATGTATCAATTCTATCTATCTATCTATCTATCTATCTATCTATCTATCTATCTATCTATCTATCTATCATTTCCCTCCCTATCTATTATCAATCAATCAGTTACCTATCTATATATTTCCCTATGTATCAATTCTATCTATCTATCTATCTATCTATCTATCTATCTATCTATCTATCTATCTATCTATTATCAATCAAGCAATCAATTACCTATCAATATATTTCCCTCCCTATCTATCTATCTAGGAATGGTGTCATCCAACCCTTCTTCCTTCTTTTGCTGTAAGTCAGAGGTTCTTTCCCTGGGATTAAAGATTTCAGGGGATCCATGAACTGAGATGTTCAAAAAATTACAACTATATTTTCACTAGCCTCTAACTGAAATTGAGCTTTTCATGCAAAAATGAATGTAGGCAACAAAGTAATCTGTGGGCTCTAGGGTCCAAAAATGTTTCATTTCAACTTGCCTTTCAAATGTATTTGTTGTCTTGCTCTTGATTTAATGGATTAATAAAGCAGCACCTATATACTCTGTGATACATTTGTTATTTTTTAATAGTTTGGTGACTGTCTTTGAGCATAATTGGGTTTGCCTGATAAAACAGTAGAGCAAAGTATATTATTTTATGCTTCTAAATTTGTTGTACGCCGCGCAGAGTCACATTGTGTGAGATGGGCGGCTATATAAATATGACAAACAAACAAACGAACAAACAAACGAACAAATAAATTTGTCTGAGAAGGAGTCCATAGGTTTCACCAGACTCTCAAAGGGCTCCGTCCCCCCAAAAGGTTAAGAGCCCCCTGATCTAAACGCACGGCACCTGAGAGAGTTTTTAATTGTTTTGTATTGTTATTTATCTGTTGTTAAATAAATAAATAAGTAAATATTGTGAATGCAGACACACTACACAACCAAACACACACACTACACATCCCCACAAGTGAGATGTGTTCCTTGGTTACCCACAGGGACAGATTACCCCAGCCCCAAGGGGAGTTTAATGTTTCGTATCAGCTTTACTGCATTTTTCAGGCTATGCCCTTGAAAATATGTTTTTCTTTTTTTCTTCAGAATCTGCTCGGGACCAGTAATGATTTGAAATCTGTCCAGTCTCTCTTTATGGAGATTTTGGGCAATACAAGTGTAGCAGATCAGCACCATCTTATAATTTGTCCAGAATATTGTATTTCCTTTTGGATTATTATTTTTTCATTAATTTGCAAGCGGCTGCATCTTCATGATCTAGACAGTCTTGGAAATTATCTCTTTGAATGCTTGTAGCTTAATATATAAAGTTAAAAAGAATTACATTTTATCTTTTTAAGTAACATTCGATTTTCTTCGTCTCCTGTGAGATTGGTCAGTCTCTCAAGGGAGTAAAGGAAGGGCTGAATCCTCTGGTCACCACACATATACGCTACATGTGGAGTCCTTGGGGTCCTCTGAGCTTGGTTGTTTTCTGGCAGATGTTTTGTTACCCGTCTAGGTAATATCTTCAGGTAGCACTGAAGATGTTACCTAGATGGGTAGCGAAACGTCTGCAAGGAAACAACCAAGCTCAGAGGGCCCCATGGACTCCACAGTTCAACCCTGAGCTACAGAGATTCTCTTCTACTGATATGCTACATGGCGAAGATACGATGATATATATAATTTATTTCAGCTGTTGACCTTTTAATCACTAAAAAGGCAGTACAGATTGTGAGAGCTCTATTTGTCTCACACAATGGGGTTAGGGGGTGGCTGCCATGTGAATCGCCTCCAGGAGATAAAACAGCGGCAGAAGGAACTAGTCACTAAGCACGAAATGGAACCAGGTTATGAAGACCCAGAGGGTTTCAGACTTCCAGCCTTTGCCCAGCAGACTTCAGCTTTCTCCTACAACTCGTAAAGAGTCAAGTGCAAAATTCTGCACCAGAGAACTTGGGAAATGGGGGAACTGTCTGCTTGAAAGTCTCCCCCAAATTCAAACAAACGTTTACATATAACAATCCACTCCTGGAGATATGAATGAAAGCTATCTCCCTGATATATGACTTGCTCGCTCGTTGCTTTAAAGGAGGGCCTTTAAATATGGGCAACGTGGCACCCTCCTTCTTCTCCCCACTCAGTCCTCCTTTGCTGCCTGACACTTCGGGCCACTTTTAGGACACAATGGCTTTTTTGCAAGCGCCTTGCGTGATGTTGCAGTCTCTTGAGAGCTCCGTGTATGAGGGCCATCCTTCTTGTGGCCGCCTGCTCAGTTCCTCAAAGATAAAACCCAGACTTTGGATGCAGGAAGGCCCCAGATTCTACTCCGAGGATCACAAGGGGAAGCTGGAAAAGTCTCCTGCCTGAAGGGCTGCGTTGACCAGAGTCCCCAGCTTGGTGCTCTTCAGACGCTGAGGCCTCGAATTCTCAGCCCACCCGGCCAAGAGAGGGGGCCGCAGGTGTGCATTGCATCTACAAGCCCCCGGCTGGGGGATCTTGAGTTAAATGTCCCCTCGGCTCAACTCACCACAAGGCAGCAGCTTCCCTGTTTCTGGGTGCTGATCCCATGGAATGGCTCTCCTTCCTGGTGCCGCTGGGCACAGGAGGGCCTCGGGTGTGCGTGGGTGTGCATGCAAGGAACAGGCCACTCTCCTTTCATCCAGCACAATTCCACAGCCAACTCATCCAGAGGCATCTGGGAGGGGGACAAGCCACCATCCAGCGTCTTGCTCCAGCTAAGAGGCTTTGGGGAGGAATCACCATGGAGATGATGCGTGCATTGAAAAATACCCTCCTGGATGCCCTTTTCTGCATCTTACATGTGCCCCCCCCGACTCTGTAACACATAGTCCTCTTGTTTCCTTCCAGGAGATCCCACGTCAGATGGTGGTTCTCAGCACAGCACCCAATCCCCAAATCCCACAGCCCCAGAAGTGAAGAACGGCATCTCCCTGTTCCTAGCCTGCAGCCCTGGGATAATTCAGGAATTCTTATAAGTGAGGGATCAAGGCAAGGGGCTCCTGAGGGCAAGCAGAGAGCTGGAGTTCCCTTGTGGAGGGGCAGAAGAATCCATTTGCTTCTGCAGACCCAACTTTTGCTCCTCCCCGGAGGCAACTGAAGCCCCCGCCTTTGCAGCCGCCCGGGCTGGCCAACGCGGAGGGTGCAGGGGTCTCCAGGGCTGGACAGGTGCCCTTGAGCGGCAGAACAGCTGGCGCTCTGGGGGTGTCATCGCGGCTGAGGCTGCTCAAACAGCTTCACAGGATTGTCCCAGCAGCCCAGCCGGTGGGCCCCACGCCAACACGTCCTGAACCCGCCTTCAGGAGCGAGGTTGTGGGCACCACCTTGATCTTTCTGGGCTCCAGCGTTCCTGATTAGAGCCCAGGAGAATGACCTGGTTCGCCCGGGGCTGGATACTCACCAAACACCCTCCAACGCCCTTTGAACCTTGCCTAGCCTCTTTGGAGAACCAAGGTAGTCAGTCTCGAGAAAGAGATCTGGAACCTAGAATATCGGCCAATTTGTGCAGATTTTCTATTATATGAACAACGTATACGACACACGTTCCCCTTACCTCACCTCCCCCACAAAGTCTCCTTTGTGAACGAGCCAGGATCAGAAGTCAGAGTTTATTCCTGGTCTGGTTGGACAAACCCTAGTTCCCCCCTAGACACATTCCGCCCAAAACGTGGCTTATTTAAACACAGTCACTTCCAGTTGCCGCCTTTGAGAAAAGCCTAGTCCAGCCTTTCCCTCCCCTCCTCCAAGTTGCTTTCAAGGTGTGCGCCCATGCTGGCTGGGGATGATGGGAACTGCGATCCAACACATCCAAGAGGCAACAGCTTGGGGAGAGCTGGTTTAGTCTACATTAATGACAGCCCTTTCAAATCTGCCTTTTACTGTTTTGAAGCATTCGGAAAAGGAAGAGGCTTTTTTTCCTACAGTTTTAGTTGCTTTGCAAAAATTCTGTCGAGATTTGGGGGGAGGCGGATGCCACACGGTGAGAGGCTGTTAAGGGGATGCTGAACTGTTCCTCTGGCAATAGAGCTACACTATTTTTACAGCTTAGCTTGTATTGCTTGGATAAATGTTTAATAAGGAAGATTCTTGCATCCCTGTTATTTATGGCTTTGCCCACTGCAGGCACCGGGAGCCATTTCTCCGCACTCTCCCGCTTTGCACAGTTCAGGGGTGTCTTCCGTCAAGAGGGCAGCCACACCCGTGCCATCCAAGCCCACCACTTTTTGATGTGCCCCCCGCAAAAAAAATATGTGCGTTGCGCGATCCCACCCCATCTTTTGAAAGCTTTCTCCCTCTGGTAATCTTACTCCTCCGTTGGATGCCCGGGTGCCAGTAATGGAGGATAACCATGAGGGAGAGCGTATATCAGCCAGATACAATCGGCAGATGCAATAAGGGATTAAGCAAATTCAGGAGACGGACGTGAGAGCTGAATCCGTAGCTCTCGGTGGCCCGGACTCAGAGGTCGCGCAATTTGAAACAGCAGATGCCGGGAGCAAAGAGAGACAGAGCTGTTGCTTGCAAAGGTCTTCCACGTCTGAGGGGAGAGGAGATGTCTTAATTTCTCCCCCCAATATCCACCCCCAAACAAATGCATTTGATTCAGGCCACTTCGGTCCGGAATCATGAAAGGAGAGAGGAGCAACGGTCTATCCTGCTCGCCAATTTACCTGTAGCGGCTCCTGCTATCGGATAAATTAAAACAGTCTCCCTAATGGCCTTTCTGGTCGGAAATTCTTAGACAGGTGAAGCATCGTGGCAATTTGCTTGCCGGCTTCCTTCCCTCCAAGGAACTCTGCATGTTCTCTAAACCCCAACTCTCTGCCCCCGCAGCTAATGGATGCCACTGGCTGAATTAGGCTAACGAGTGACTCGCTCTGGGAGCCCGAGCGCAGCTGCTGCTGCTGCTGCTGCTGCTGCTGCTGTTTTTATTTCCTTTTTCCTAAATACATGGCTGGACGTGCTTGGACTTCCTTCTTTTTCTTAAAAAAAAGGAGGTATTTCTCAGGAGTTTCCCCACTAAAATTCCATCCTAGGACTGGATCTTAAGCTATGTCATGTATTCTTAAGCCATTTCACACATTTCTGTTAGATTCTGTGCTTTGTGGCTTTAAGAGAGGAAACCCAACATTCTTTGTCAGTCAATATTTCCAGAGCTGTGGGAAGAGAGGGTTAGAGAGCTTAAATACTATCTAAACCAGTGTTTCTCAACCTTGGCAACTTTAAGACCTGTGGACTTCAATTCCCAGAATTCCCCAGCCA